TATATATATATATATATATATATATATATAAATATATATGTGTATACTGGCAGCAGGTTTTCTTTCAACAAGAAAGATATTCAATGAAACAAATATATATATATATATATATATATATATATATATATGTCGTACCTAGTAGCCAGAACGCACTTCTCGGCCTACTATGCAAGGCCCAATTTGCCTAATAAGCCAAGTTTTCCTGAATTAATATATTTTCTCTAATTTTTTTCTTATGAAATGATAAAGCTACCCATTTCATTATGTATGAGGTCAATTTTTTTTTATTGGAGTTAAAATTAACGTAGATATATGACAGAACCTAACCAACCCTACCTAACCTAACCTAACCTATCTTTATAGGTTAGGTTAGGTTAGGTAGCCGAAAAAGTTAGGTTAGGTTAGGTTAGGTAGGTTAGGTAGTCGAAAAACAATTAATTCATGAAAACTTGGCTTATTAGGCAAATTGGGCCTTGCATAGTAGGCTGAGAAGTGCGTTCTGGCTACTAGGTACGACATATATATATATATATATATGTGTGTGTGTGTGTGTGTGTGTGTGTGTGTGTGTGTGTGTGTGTGTGTGTGTGTGTGTGTGTGTGTGTGTGTGTGTGTGTGTGTGTGCGAGTAAATCACGAAAATTAACACGTCATGAAAAATGTGGCAGTGTCAGACCACGGAGGATGAATGTAATGAAGATTCCTTCTAAAGATGTATTAATATACGAAAGTACTTAAGGAAATTCCTGTTTCAATTCTTCCTCCGTGGTCTGACATATATATATATATATATATATATATATATATATATATATATATATATATATATATATATATATATATATATATATATATATATATATATATATATATATATATATATATATATATATATATATATATATATATATATATATATATATATATATATATATATATATATATATATATATATATATATATATATATATATATATATATATATATGTATATATATGTGGATGAGGCGCTACTCCCACGCTACTGCGGCTTGCAATCTACATTTTTTAAGCAATGCAGACTGGCTACTGCTGGTGCCACCAAAGGTCTGACTGAACGAAAGGCACCCAAGAACCACGCTTACTGAAGCTTCAGTAGCAAGGGTGAACAATAGATTTGTTCAAGGTGAACAATAGATTTGTGAATACCTGGTGACTATCCATTTCCATGTGGGGGCAACGGAACCCCTATTGTAAAACCTATAATTGTCCCTGGTGTATTCACCCACCAAGGTGTACTTGGGAGAGATAAGCTCCGGTTCTTCTATGGACATTTTAGCATGTGCGTCTGGTCGCACGTTCCCCAACATTGCTTTGTTTTACCACTTTCAATATCCAATCTAAATAATAAAAGAAAAATTGAAAAATACTAGCCTGGCACAAATAGATGCAAGGAAAACCCAATTTTTGTTTTATTAAAAAAGGAGTGGTCGTGGAAACTGTACACAGCCTTATCCACTGTTAAAAAACAACAAAGATAGTATTTAAAAGAATATCGCTTAACACTCTGGGAATAACACTTAAACTTTAAATTGGTTAAGCTAGGCCAAGGTAAACTTCTGTTTCAACAACATTAGAAACCTTAAACCCTTTACCTTCATGAGAATGTAAACAGTACCAGGTGTTTCAATACTATCACTAATATCCATAAAAATACATTTTCAGATATTTTTTTCTACTACGACACAACTATTTATTTTCATGCAATTTTAAGATAAGGTCTTTCCCAAAAACTCGTGATAGAGTATCGCAACCCAAAATTTTTATAAAATCTACGATCGCTCAAAGTAAATGCAAATCCATTTCACCTGGTAAACATATCCCCGTAACCATACTGCTGGGAGCACTTGCACTTCTCCAGGCTCAAGCACTCCTACTGAAAAATTTATGATCTGAAAGTCATTCAACGCCAGCAGTTGGGTAGTAGAGCACTTGGGTTGCGGCACTTCAAAGACTCAAATTTTACGGCCGGATACGTACACTGTGATATCCAGTCAACATCAAGATATGGAGAACGATCAAATACTTTACTCAAAAAACTGCAATGTAATAATGCTGACGTCAGGTAACCAGCAGTGGGGCATGTTTGAATATTCAGAATTTTACGTTCAATATAGGGCAAATATTCCAGGTATGTCTGCTTCATAGATAGTGTATGGTATCATAGATAGTGTATAGATGCTTCATAAATAGTGTATTTTCATTATACACTTTGCATTTCATTTTTTCAATTTCATTTTTTCTACATTTCATTTCATTATACATCTATTTTCATTATAACGTTATGAGCCCACGGCTCATAACGTTATAATGAAAAGAAATTGGCATTCATCTCACATATAAAACTCAAGAAATTACAATATTAGATACAGCTTGATATTAACAAACGTTTTACGTCGTGTTGAAGCTGCGAGCCAAGATAAGTATTATATATCAGAATAGAGCACCGATGTATTTGAGTTGTGTGTTCCATACGTATGTCTACAAAAAACCGATTTGAACATTTATGAACGTGTATCAGTGTGCACTGCAGAGTAGAACATCTGAGAATCGTGGATGGTGTGTTACAGTGGAGTTGGCTTGTGAGTTATGTGGTGTGCTTGCAACCTATCGGTAATTATTTACTTGTGTTAGTATCATCAGCTAATCAGGTATCGTCGTCAGCGCACTATGTAATGTCCGCGTGTGCATTCTAACCCAAAACTAATATATATTTTCTTTGCTGACAACCTTAGTTTGCCTTAAATCTTAAAAAATAGTTTGTTTACATTAAGCACTTAACTGATACACTTTTGATTCCTTTATAATATCATCACCTATCAAGAATTTCAACTAGTCAGGGCCTCTCAAGTCTCCCCCTCTCTTGGTTATTCAGCAATCCTTAACCCTTGTTAAGGTTGTCACGTGGCTCAATGAAGGTTAAGGAACAGCTATTAACTCTTTTATTATATTAATACACGCCATGTTAAAAGGTAATTTGTTTTCGGTAATGGTTACAATAGAATTTTAATTATTTAACCAGTTTACTGTACAAAGGCACGAAGGCAGTACTGAAATAAAGAATTTGTTAGTGCTACATTTCTTTTCGATCTTATCGAGCAGACAGACGTGTTCTTCAAGCCTCATATGCTACAGCTGTCATACTTGTCATTCATTAACATTTAAATGCTACAGCTGTCATAACTGTATAATTATCATTCATTAACATTTATATGCTACAGCTGTCATAACTGTATAATTATCATTCATTAACATTTATATGCTACAGCTGTCATACTTGTCCTTCATTAACATTTATATGATACCGATGCCATACTTATCATTAACATTTATGTGCTACAAATGTCATAATTGTATAATTATCATTCATTAACATTTATATGTTACAGATGTCACAATTGTCATTCATTAAACACTGCACCCTAGTAAACAAAAAAATATTTCTACAAAGAAAATTTAAATATCTTTAATCTTTCTACGAAAATATTCTAAAAGTCTTTGCAAAGACATATCTTTCCATAAGCTCTACATTAACTCGAGTAAAACACGTGTAAATCTTCAAGCAACGTGACAATTCTAAAAAGATTATTGCTACAAGCACTAGAATAGTGTAGACCTGTAATGCCTATAAACTCTTAACGCGACTTGAACATTTATAAAACTTTCCTCCACTCATTGTTTTATATTTTGAAAACCAATTTAAATGACAAATATCCTCTAAATTACTACTCAACATCAATTCATTATTAAGAATTTCGCTGCGACATTCCTTTGTGAACTACGATATTTCCTTCATTTATGTTCTAGGTTTATAAAACAGTACATTAACTTTCACCATAAACTACCTCAGGACCTCGTATATAATTCATGGCAATGTTAGAAAATGTATCAGCAGTTTTTAAGTAAAACAAAACAAAAAATAAAAAATAATCATAATTTAAACACAAAAAAACAAAGTACTATACTATATGCTTTGATATACTGTATATAAAAAACTGGCATGTAATATTATACATATATATATATATATATATATATATATATATATATATATATATATATATATATATATATATATATATATATATATATATATATATATATATATATATATATATATATATATATATATATATATATATATTGCACAATACTAATGGGTACTAAACTAGATTTTGGACCCGAATCCGCCGTCACAACCATTAACTACCAGCTGCAGACAATTCATCATCCTAAATAACTTGTGTAACCTACTACCTGTTCTTCTAATAGCAACTAGAGCCCTCCGTATGTAGCAAATATAATCCAACCACAAGCGCCATAATGAAATTAGGTTGAAAGCAAAAAAAATATATAATTCTTAAAAACAAAAACATATACATCTATGCGCTATTTTAAATATTAAGTACAGCTAATTACAGTGTAAACGAGATGTTAAATTAATATGAGAAAAGCCTCTCAGTAAGACTCCAGTTACGAAAGGTTAAAATAGTTTCCACGCAATATTACACCATCCCTATGGCAAGCATATTCTTTAAGAAATGTTATTTATAATAATAATAATGATAATAAAGAATAATAATAACACATAAGCTTGGATTAAATTAAAGACCATAGCCTTCGAAATCTTAAATACATGTCAGGTCAAGGAAACTGCTAAAGTAACGACAGGTAAAGTCCAGAAATAGATAAGTTAACTTCTGGGAACAATTGTTCTAACGCCATTGTCTTTCGTCTAACAAATACATGAACAAAGACTAAAATTTTATATATTTGTTATTAATCTACTATGACGTTATTATTTTTCATGTACCGGTCTATGAATATTTAACCTTACCTAACTATCAGTGTAGGGCTTAGGCACATGCAAAGTCTTCATCACTTGAAAGTCATTTCAGTAGAGGCAGGTCAAACTACACTTGGAAGTTAACTACAGAACTACTGCAGCCTAAATCCCGTTACAATGCCAAATGGACCACAGCCCACGTCAGGTGGACCACAGCCCACGTCAGGTGGACCACAGCCCACGTCAGGTGGACCACAGCCCACGTCAGGTAGACCACAGCCCACGTCAGGTGGACCACAGCCTACGTCAGGTGGACCACAGCCCGCGCCAGGTGGACCACAGCCCACGTCAAGTGGACCACAGCCCACGCCAGGTGGACCACAGCCCACGTCAGGTGGACCACAGCCCACACCAGGTAGACCACAGCCCACACCAGGTGGACCACAGCCCACATCAGGTGGACCACAGCCCACATCAGGTGGACCACAGCCCACATCAGGTGGACCACAGCCCACATCAGGTGGACCACAGCCCACACCAGGTAGACCACAGCCCACACCAGGTGGACCACAGCCCACGTCAGGTGGACCACAGCCCACGTCAGGTGGACCACAGCCCACGTCAGGTGGACCACAGCCCACGTCAGGTGGACCACAGCCCACGTCAGGTGGACCACAGCCCACGCCAGGTGGACCACAGCCCACGTCAGGTGAACCACAGCCCACGTCAGGTGGACCACAGCCCACGTCAGGTGGACCACAGCCCACGCCAGGTGGACCACAGCCCACGTCAGGTGAACCACAGCCCACGTCAGGTGGACCACAGCCCACACCAGGTAGACCACAGCCCACACCAGGTAGACCACAGCCCACACCAGGTGGACCACAGCCCACGTCAGGTGAACCACAGCCCACGCCAGGTGGACCACAGCCCACGCCAGGTGGACCACAGCCCACATCAGGTGGACCACAGCCCACATCAGGTGGACCACAGACCACACCAGCTGGACCACAGCCCACACCAGGTGGACCACAACCCACACCAGATAGACGAACACCCCATGTTGCTCGCCAGCATAATCCCGACTTACCTTAA